ACTGCCTGATAAAGGCTACATCCTCCGTACAGGCAAGCAAAATGCTGGCATTCACAATACAGGCCTTCCATTCTCTGGGGCTGCTTGTAAACAATGACAAATCAACGTTATCCCCCACTCAAGACTTAAAGTTCATTGGGGCGAGGTTAGATTCAAAGAGAGCGAGAGCGTTCTTACCCACCGTGAGATTCCAAGCCATACAATCCCTGATAAATATGTGCACGTCCAACAGCAGCAGTCAGGTGCTTGTACTCCTCAAACTTATGGGGCACATGGCCGCAACTACATTCATGGTCCAGAATGCCAGTCTTCATTTTCGGGCATTGCAACACTGATTGGCCACCGTCTACAATCATACCTGTCGCAATGTACGCCGGTCAGTTACCATTCGTCAACGTCATCTCTTCCCTCCCTTGGTGGATGATAGACAAGCACCTACTGTCCGAAGTGCCCTTCCATCCCCAGCTTCCAACCTGCCAAATCACTACAGACACTTCCCTCCTTGGTTGGGAAGCACACATGAATGGAATTTCGGTACAAGGCCATTGGACACCTCGTGAGTCGTTGCTCCATATAAATCTACTGGAGCTCAGGGCCGTCTTCAATGCATGCAAACACTTCCATAATCACATTCACAACTCCATGGTGGGGATCCTCACAGACAATGTGGCCACGATGTTTTACATCATCCGTCAAGGGGGAACTTGATCACGATCCCTCTGTGCAGAGGCGGTCTGACTTTGGAATTGGTGCATCACTCTTGTGGCATCATACTTATCTGGCATAAACAACATAACAGCAGATGCCCTCAGCAGTTTGGATCATGAGTGGGAGCTCCACCGCAGACCCCTCCACTTCCTCTTTTGTGAATGGGGCGTACCATCAACCGACTTCTTCGTCACACGCACCAACAAGAAGTGTCTCCAGTATTGCTCCAGGGTGGGACTGGGTCGCCATTCTCTGGGGCACACATTCCTAATAACCGTACTCAGAGTAGTTATTAATGGTTCACAATCCTGCTGGAAAGGTATAACAAGTGCGGTTCCGCAGGGGTCTGTTTTGGGACCGGCTGTCTTCAATATCTTTATCAATGATTTAGATATTGGTATAGAAAGTAGGCTTATTAAGTTTGCAGATGATACCAAGCTGGGAGGGGTTGCAACTGTTCTGGAGGATAGAGTCATAATTCAAAATGATCTGGACAAATTGGAGAAATAGGATGAAGTTTAATAAAGACAAATGCAAAGTGCTCCACTTAGGAAGGAACAACCAGTTTCACACATATAGAATGAGAAGCAACTGTCCAGGAAGGAGTACGGTAGAAAGAGATCTAGGGGTTATAGTGGACCACAAACTAAATATGAGTCAGCAGTGTGATGCTGTTGCAAAAAAGCAAACATGATTCTAGGATGCATTAACAGGTGTGTTGTGAGCAAGACACGAGAAGTCATTCTTCCACTCTACTCTACGCTAGTTAGGCCTCACTTGGAGTATTTTGTCCAGTTCTGGGCACCGCATTACAAGAAAGATGTGGAGAAATTGAAGAGGGTCCAGAGAAGAGCAACAAGAATGATTAAAGGTCTAGAGAACATGACCTTTGAAGGAAGGCTGAAAGAATTGGGTTTGTTTAGTTTAGAAAAGAGAAGCTTGAGGGGGGACATGATAGCAGTTTTCAGGTATCTAAAAGGGTGTCCTAAGGAGGAGGGAGAAAACTTGTTCATCTTGTCCTCTGAGGATAGAACAAGAAGCAATGGGCTTAAACTGCAACAAGGGAGGTTTAGGTTGGACATTAGGAAAAAGTTCCTAACTGTCAGAGTAGTTAAACAGTGGAATAAATTGCCCAGGGAGGATGTGGAATCTCCATCTGTGGATATTTAAGAGTAAGTTAGATAAATGTCTATCAGGGATGGTCTAGACAGTACTGGATCCTGCCATGAGGGCAGGGGACTGGACTCGATGACCTCTTGAGGTCCCTTCCAGTTCTAGTGTTCTATGATTCTATGTATGCATTCCCACCTATACCTTTAATTCCTAAGGTGTTGCCAGAAGATCAAAGCAGATCGGGCCACAGTGATACTAATAGCTCCTGCATGGACCAAACAGCATTGGTATCCCCAGCTATTACAACTGTCAAGTTACCCATC